ATAACTGGGCTCTCTTAACACTCGCAATTATTTTTAGACTACATTAACTGTGCCTGAGTTTCCTGGTACCTTGACATCTTGGGGTTTTGCAGATTCAGGGGGCTGGTGGGAAGGGGAGTGGTTGTCCCCCCCTCTTAGGGGCAGATACCCAGAGAAAACAAACAAGTCCCGTGTAAACATGCCTTCCCCAGGCAAACTTATCAATCCAGAGCCGCCCCCTCTTGGGCCTCCTTTAGAAGCTTGCACGCTAAAGGCTGGTACAACTAGGCTACACTCTCCCATTCCCTCCAGGCAACACTAGGAACACCTCCTGTAGCTAGGGATCAGGAAGACATTTATGGGCCTTTCCAGACCTGGCCTGAGCCACGCTCAGGACCCTCTACCGACCCCACTCACGGCGTGTCCCTGGGTCTGGAGGCCTGGTGAGGAGCCCCGCCAGCCAGCGAGTCCTGCCTGGCTTGATCTCTGTTTTCGTCTTCTTCCCTTATATTGAACCACACATCACTGGGAGCTTATCAGCTCCCGTGCGGAGTCGGCAGGGGTTTCACACACATCGGTTTCCACCGTCATGACTAGGCCTGCGCACTGCCTGACTCGGTCCCTTGGTGGCACTAGGCTTCCCATCCCAGTCCTGCCAAGGTCCCTCTGCAACAGCTCCCCCCAACAGGCAGGCCTTCTTCACCCATGTCAGCGTGTCACTGAAATGTCACTTGCCAGCGGGCAGCTTTCCTTCTTGATGCTCCACAAAAGAAAACCGGTCGCTTTACCCTCAGAGGTGTGGTGGCTCACTCCTGTCATCTTAGCTACTTGGGGCAGAGATGAGGAGGATCAGGGTTTGAGGCCAGCCCAGGCAACAAAAATCCCTGAGACTCCATCTCAACCACCAAAGGCAGGGGTGTTGGCACACATCTGTCTTTCCAGCCACAAGAGAGGCATAAACAGGCTGCCTGGGCATTAACACCAGACCCTATTCAAAGAATAACTAAGGCAAAAAGGCAGCCCCACTTGTCCAGCAAATACAAAGGCCCTGAGTTCAAACCCCAGTACTTCCATAAAAAGCAAACCAACAGAAAAACTGTCTTGTCTTCAGTCCTCAAATGGCAAATTTGTTCTTCACTAACCTTACCCCTCTGCTCTCCTCTTGTGCCTTTGTGTACAAAACAGCCTTTCATTATCATGCAAAACAGCAGCAGCATTTTTTGATGGTGTCTTTTGCTGGTAGCCGTGGTGGCTCACCTATGATCCTAGCTACTCCAGAGGCTGACATCTGAAGGTCATGTTTCAAAGCTACCGTAGGCGGCAAAGTCTCCAATTAACCACCACAAAGCCAGAAGTAGAGCTGTGGTTCCACTGGTAGGTAGAACATTAGCCTTGAGCAAAAAAGCTAAGGGACAGCACTAGGCCCTGAGTTCAAGCCCCAGTAGCTACACACACACACACACACACACACACACACACACACACACACACACACACACACACACTGGTAGGTAGAACATTAGCCTTGAGCAAAAAAGCTAAGGGACAGTACCTAGGCCCTGAGTTCAAGCCCCAGTAACTACACACACACACACACACACACACACACACACACACACACACACACACACACACACACGCTGGCATCTACTGAGCTCTTACCCTATTAAAATATTTTATGCTCAGTATTTAATGCTCCCTCAGTGAAATACAGAAAAACTACCTCCATTCTACAGTGGGTCAACTGAGACTCCACTATTAATCCCAAAGCCAGTGCTACCCAACCCACAAGGAGCAGTTAGGTCGTATACCAGGCCTCCCCTGCAAGCCAGAAATATTCCCATAATGCACTGGGAACCTCTGTGTCCTGCCTCTTACAAGGGTAATCGAATGCTGTCTGATAGAGAAAGCCTTTAAATTTTTTTCCTGTTAGACAACAGAGAGCTACAGCTATAAAGGGAATATACTGAGCAAATGAGAGCTGTAAACAAAACTGCTCCCAGAACATCAAAATCACTTAATATGCTCAATTGCTTTCAAAGCACGCATTGTAGGGAACTGTTATGCTGATTACCAGTAATTATAATCTACTCATTAAGAGACGTCCCTGAAGGCCTCGGCAGAGAAACACTTCATTGTTGAATTTCAGTTACTCCGTGTGCTCGAAAATAATGAAGCTACCATCCTTTTAAAAATTATCTAATTTAGACTTTTCGCTCATTTATACTGTGCCTCTCTGCAAGGCTCGGAGAGGCTCTGCAGCCTCCCCCACAAAGGTCCACAGCAGCTTCGCTCTGATGTTGACACACCAGGGCCAGCCAGTAGGGGTGGCCGGCCAGAGGGGGTTCAGGGAAGCACTTTGATCCGAAAGACATTCCCTCAAGTACGTCCCTGGTTCTCTTAATGCCAAAGAACTCATTTCTCCAGAGTCTTGAGATTCCTCAGTCATTTGTGGAGAGAAGATACTAGAATTTACTGAGTGCTACCTTAAATCCTTTAAGAGCAAAGCCAATATAAACAAACACACCGGAATTGAAAAGTTAGTATCAGGGAAGTACTCAGTGGGCTGAGAGCTTTATCTCCTGTTTTAGTTAAACCCTCTTAGCTCTGGGAAACAGACCACAGCTCAGAGGCCCACAGGAGAGGCAGGAATCTTCCAGAAATCTGAGAGGAAAAATCCTCGCATCATCTGGATTTATGAAAAACTGCATCTAGGGCGTATCCAGACACAAAAAGTTTGGGAGGACATACCTGTAGTCTCAGCTACTCCGGAGACTGAGGTAGGAGAATCAACTGAGGCTGCAAGTTCAAGATTAGCTTGGGTAACATAGCAGAACTCAAAAAAAGGGAGGTTGGGGAGGAGGGGCCTAGGAATGTGGCCTAGTGGTAGTGTGCTTACCTAGCATGCATAAAGCCCTGGGTTCGATTCCTCAGTACCACAAAAAAAGCTGGAAGTGGAGCTGTGGCTCAAGTGGTAGAGCACTATCCTTGAGCAAAAGAAGCTAGGGGGCAGTGCCCAGGCACTGAGTTCAAGCCCCAGGACTGGCACACACACACAAAATTTCATGAATCTTTCCTACAAAGACCTGTCTTTACATCTATTAATTTGCTTTCAATGACAAGAAATAGACAACCAATTTCAAACAATAAAGTTCTCCTGAGGAAACTGGAAATCCAGTTGTGGGTGGATCTGGGGGTCAACCATCCTTGTCATGGATGAGCAAGAATCTTCTCTCTTCATCCTGAATGGAGGAGGGCACACCTTGACCCGAAGGCTGGTTCTCTGAGTCTGGGCATGGAGCCATGGATGACAGAAACATGGGTGCCACGGTTCAAGAGAAATATTCCCCAGAAACCGCTGCCTCGTGGTGTTACTGCCCTGACCTACACAAGACGTCCTTGGACAACTTACACCGACTGGCCTGGGGCAGGCACCCTGTTCTTCTCACCGTGAGGTCAGTGGTGGTGGTAGGAAGTAGGAGGAAGCCGGACGGAGAGAAGAGAAATGGAGACTTCCTGAGTTTGGGGCTCTGGTAAAGAAGGTCATACACTGAAGCCATGTGGAAAATCCTGAAGGAAAAACAGGTTGGAGGGGGAGGGGAGTCGGTGCTATGGTGGACCTGAAAATTTTGAAAACTCAGAACCTAATAGAAATCCCTACAAAGGTGTTGGGGGAATCATAGGAAATGTGAGTTTAAAGTTCCTGGAGGGGTCAGGGCTGGGAAGGGAGGCGGTCATCAGTCTCCAGCTAGGGAGATAATGAAATCAAGAAGAGGAGAAGCGAGGAATCCAAGGCTGAGCGCTGATGCATTCCAGCATCTACAGGTAGAGCAGAAAAGGCAGGAAAAGGTTCTTCCTGCCAGGGAGGCAGGAAGAAAACTAGAAACCGGCTGTCCTATATGCAGGAAAACAAGTGCTGGTTTTTTTTTTTTGGTCAGTCCTGGGGTTTGAACTCAGGGCCTGGGTGCTTTCCTGAGCCTCTGGGTACTCACGGCTAGTACTCTACCACTGGAGCCACAACTCCACTCCCGGCTTTTTCTAAATAATTTATTGGAGATAAAGAGTCTCACAGTTTTTTCCTGCCTGGGCTGGCTTCAAACCATGATCCTCAGCTCTCAGCCTCCTGAGTGGGTAGAATGGCGGGTGTGAGTCACCGGCGCCTGGCAACCAGAGTTTCGTTGTGTGTTTGAGCACCGTCTTAAGATGAAGCTCAGACTGGCCTTGACACCTCCATCTTCCAGCCTCCACTGCTGTCAGAGAGGAAGAGCTTTTACCACGCTGGATTCACTTCTCTCCTTGTCCTTGGCATGTGACACGGCAGTGTCTACTCACACAGTGGGCGGCTGTGTTCGAGGTAAGGGAGAGCGGATTCAGCTACTTCAGGTCAAGCCTCGTGTGTGAGGCGGAGTGAGGGTGGGCTGAGCTGCCCGGCACTCAGGATACCCTGCGTGTGGTGGCTGGCCTCTCCCATCCTGTTTCTCAGGTTCCCATAGGGAGTCTGGGCGGCAGCGGGGATGAAGGGCCCAGCTGTCTCGCACTGTGACTCCTTTGGCAGCTGGCTCTGAAACCCAGGTGTGCTGGAACCAGCTGCAGACACAGCTGTGGACGACAAGCCCCAAGAGACTGGCTGCGAGTGTGACAGGACGGTGGCTGGCAGCGGTGGGATGCTGTGACAGCTCAGCCGCCTCCGACAGGCAGTCTGATCTCCTTGGGGACACCCAGAGCATGCCGGCCACTCCTCTCCAAAGCACAGTGCGTGCTCCTAGGGTCTGTCTCTGTGCTGTGGCCCAGGGGCCAGCTCTGTGACAGGTGGCGCGGGCCCGAGCATGCTTCCACATGAGCACGCACCATTACCAGGAGAGCGCCCCGGGGAAGGCTGCGGTCCGGGCGGACGCCTGTCCTCCATGCCGGCAGCTGCTGCCTCCACAGCCATGTGCCCATCCCACAGCTCCTCCCAGACCCCAAGAACTCAGAAAGCCCCGAGGGAGAGGAACGTACGACAGTTACCACACAGTATATCCTTCAGTAAGAAAATACCAAGGCTTCATTTATTTTCCTATTAAAAAAAAAAAAACCTGCCCCCGCTGTTGGGTCTGTGGGAGGAGACGCAGTTCACCTGCACCGGGACACACAGCCACAGTGCTGAGCAAGTGCCCTGAGGGACGAAGCAGAGCTCTCTCATCTTTGCAGCAGTGAAATGCTGAACAAACTCCAGGGGACTTGAGCGGCGCTGGACATCTGCGCCAGGAGCAGACCAGGGGACCCGGGGCCACCCCTGATGCAAAGTCCATGAGCTTGCCTGCCCCCAGAGTCCGGGGCGGAGTCCTGGACGCCCCCACCCCACCCCAGCGGCCCAACCAGGCAAGGCCGGCCCCTAGGTGCAGCAGTGCCGCATATGGAAGTTGACGACGTACTCGGCGTTGGTCCTCTGCACAGAGATGGCAAAGGGCTCAAAGGGGTGAAAGGTGAAGGCAACAAGGCGGCGCACGGTGTGGTTGACGGGCCGGCCCAGCAAGCCCGCCTGAATCTCAAACTTGAGTAGGCCAGAGTCCCGGGCATAGAATCTAGACAGACAAAGGAGAGAGAGAGGAGGGGGAGAAGCAGATGCTGAAAATCACCCCACACCGTGAGGAGACCACCCATTGCTTCCTTCCCCCAGCTCAGCCTGCGCCAGGCAGCGCCACACACTCTTCTTGGTCTGTCCCGTTCACCTGGGGGGGGAGGGGGAGAGCCTGGCCTGAGCCACTGGTCCCTTCTCTTTCCCAACACGACCCTGTTACACTTACCCTAATTAGGCCAGCCTCCCCAGAAACCGTCCAAGCCACAGATGAAACGCAAGCCACAAGTCCAGGCCTCATGAGCCATATTTTCAGGTAGCCATATTAAAACAAATTAAACATCAGCTGGGCACCAGGCTCACACCTGTAATCCTAGCTACTCAGAAGGCTGCGCTGAGGACTGCAGTTTAGAGCCAGCCCTGGCAGGAAAGTCCATGAGACGCTTATCTCTAAAAAACCACCAGAAAATCAAAGTGGTGCTGCAGCTCAAGTGGTAGAGTGCTCGCCTTGAGCTGAAGAGCTGAGGGACAGCGCTCAGGCCCAGAGTTCAAGACCCATGACCAACAAAAAAAGAAAAAAAAAGTGAAATTAATTTGTTATGTATTTCACTTGATCCAATATATCTAAAATATTGTATGACCAATAATCCTAATAAAAAATGTCACATTCCTTAGCTTTCCCTACATCTCTGAAATCTGGTGTGTTCTTGACCCTTGACTCAAGTCATGTAAGCTGCCTGGTGGCTACATATGCCTGGGATTTGAACTCAGAGCCTGGGTGGCGTCCCTTAGCTTTTCCTCTCAAGTTGACACTGCCATGTGAGCCATACATCCACGTTTTGGTGGGTAATTGGTGTTAAGAGTCTCACAGGCTGGCTTTGAACCACAATCCTCAGATCTCAATCTCCTCAGTAAGTAGGATTACAGGCGTTAGCCACTGGCGCCAAAATGGAAATTCTTTTTCACACAGACACACAAAACACTAAGCAGCTTTTACTTCTTCATCCAAACACAAGGTGGGGTAAAGATGCTTCCACCAATCCCCATCGTAAATGCCGCTTCTGCATGCAAAATGGATGCCCTGTGCTTTGGGGAACTGGAGATGAGGGATGGCTGGGGCTAAGCCAGGGCAAGGGCCGGAAGACAGCGAGCGCAGCACTTACAGCTCTGTAACAGCCCTTCCGGAAAGCATGCACTCGTAAAGCGGACCTCAGGGTGTTCGTCTTTTTTGGTGAAACCCCATCTCCTTCCGGTGAAGTCACATCATCGGAACGGAAGTGGACCAGTGGCATGATTAAAGACAGCTGCTCTGATGTCCCCCCATAGACAAAAACGCTCGGTAGTGGGGGAGCGGTTAAACAGGTCACAACACATGGATCGGGTGGAAGATACACTGGTGGAAGATTGGTGCAAGGACCAAGCAGGTTGGGGAAACAGAATGAAGGCAGACCCCAGGATGTGATGCAGCGCCACACCTCACACAGGCAAGCCAGCCTGCTGACCAAGACTGGAGTGGAAGACAGAAAGGAGGCGTGCCGGTCACAGCGTTACCCCTTCAGATGCCTTCTCTCAGTTTTAATTAAAATTCCCGGCAAAGCCTCCTCAGTCACCGGCCCTGAGCTCCTCAGGCCGTCTCTTCAAGCAGGGAAGGCAGCATGGCAGGCACGCGTCTGCCACCTGACCGCGGCCAATGGGGCCCACTGTGTGCAAAAAGCACGTGTGCCTGGCCCCTACCATCCCCACGCACACACACCACCAAGGGCTCACCTGCACGCCTGTCAGTGTATGAGAACTACGGGAGGGTGAGCAGAGTCTAGACGGGGGGAGACACCTGGGGGTGGGTGGCAAGGAAGGTGAACAGGGAAGCAGGCTGCGGCCTGGACACAAGGACTGACACGCGCTCTGCTCGGGCCTTGATTCGAACACGGGACGGTGAGAAGAACACTGACAAGCCAACGGGGAAATGTGAAAACAGACTGGATATTTTGTGGTACTAAGAAGTTTTTGTTCATTTTCTTTATACAGGACAATGACCTAATTTTTAGGTTTTTGTTTTTTTTTTAAAAAAAAAAAAAGCTCTTGTGTCTTTTATACGTACAAACTGAGATGTTGGGCTGAAAATGTGGTAGGGTGCTTGCCTTGCATGCATGAAGCCCTGGGTTCGATTCCTCAGTACCACATACACAGAAGAAGCCAGAAGTGGTGGTATGGCTCAGGTGGTAGAGTGCTAGCTTTGAGCAAAAAAAGCGGTTCAAGGGCAGTGCCTGGACCCTGAGTTCAAGCCCCAGGACTGGCAAAAAAGAAAAAAAAAAAACAAAAAACAAATTACCTGAGATGTTTACAGGTGAAATGCCAGGAGACTGGGACCTGCCACAAAATAAGACGGGCAGCAGTGGGGAGAAGAGGATGTGACAGTGGAAAAAAGAGACAGCAGGCTAGCCAAGAGTTAGTCACTGCTGAAGCCGGCGAGGCGGACACAAAGAGTCAGCATATTCCACTTCTCATTGAGGTTTGAAACTAAAAAATTTACCTTTTGGGGGCTTGGCAGGTGGCTCAGTGGTAGAGCACTTGCCTCGCATACATGAGGCCCTGGGTTCGATTCCTCAGCACCACATAAGCTGAAAAAAGCCAGAAGTGTGCTGTGGCTTAAGTGGTAGAGCGTTAGCCTTGAGCTGAAGAGCTGAGGGACAGCGCCCAGTCCCAGAGTTCAAGCCCCACAACTGATTGTAATTGATTGTAATTGTAATTGATTGTAATCAATTTGATTACAATCTTCCACAGGAAATACTATGATGATCGAATTGCAGAATGTACTACACCAGCCCACTTAATACACAGTGAGGCAACAGGACGGGTGTACCCACTCTCCAGAGCCAACCGCCACCGCCCGTTCGTATGCACCAAGATCTGCCCTGCTCCAGTGTCCAGTCGGGCATCGGAGCAGAGCCTTGACTACAGCGCTACGTGGAACAGTACCAGATTACTCTAAGCGGAACATCACGGCTTTGTTCCCAGGACACAAACAGACAACACTTCACTGAGCTCGAGGTTAGATGGGAGCAGGAGGTAGCAGGGGTTAGTTTACAAGACTGATACCCAAACAGTCCAAGCACTCAGCATGGAAGTGGGGGGGTGGGGGGGACAAGTCGCAGGAAATGATGCCAGGAAGGAGGGTGCGCGTGCAAAAGCGGGACCACGTTCCCCCCACACGCACTGCGGTCACCCACAGGCAGCATGGCGCCGACGTCGTACCTGATGGGGTGATCGCCACAGGTCTTGGGCCGCTCCATGACTGACACCCACTTGTCATCGTAGCTGAAGAGAGACAGGTCCAGGTAGGGGCTCCCGCTGTAGGACTGTGCGCTGATGGGGAGCTGGCCCAGCAGCCGACGCACCGCCTCCGTGTGCCCTCCGTATTTGGCGTTGATGATTGTATCTTTGAACCTAGAACAAAGCATCAGCAAGGACGGTCTTTGAGGCGGGTGCCTGGCTTTCAGAGTAATGAACACATGTCTAAAACCACTCACTCTGTAAATCACAATGAAGCCCAAGACCAGGCTCTCGCATATTCCAAGTGTGGCGGGCTACAGATACTCTTAAAACAACAACAACAAAAAGAAGCAAAGAGCAGGAATGGAGAACCCTAAGTCACCAGCAGACAAAGACGGCAAAGCAATTTAAGATGAAAACGCCCGGAATTTGACACAGTTTCTACTCATTGCTGGTAACAGCACAACTACGGAAAATATTCAAAATCCATTTTCCCCAAATAATAGCCACAGGTTGACTCAGGAAGGTGGGAGGGGGCAGGGAGCCCTGGCAGATGCCACCTCCTGGGCCTGGGACCAGTTCTAACCACCTTCCACCAAGACTAGACTGCCACGTTTAAGAACCGCAGGGATCCTCCTGACTGCAGGCTGCCTCTCGGGTAGCTACCTCTCGGGTAGCTGCCTCAGAGATGCCAGGGAGCCACAGGTCCTGACCCGACCCAGAGTTCCCTGCTCAGGCAAGCTTGCTTCTTGAAGCTGAGGCTCTGCAGCCTTAAGTCTCTGCTCCTGAGCTACATAAGTCAGTCGTGACGCACCGTGCATGGTCCAGCTTCTAACACTGCGTTAGTATCTCCTCTGTTCTATGGTCTGCAATGGAGTTGCAATGAAGTAGAGATAAATGCATGTGTTCAACACACTGTGCGTTACCCACAAGTTGTAAAAAGATTTCAAGCATTCATTATCTGCATGCTCGTCAGCACACCACTGAGGTCCGAGCCGCAGAGAGATGGCCTCCACCTTTCTGCAGCTCACAGATGGTGCAGAACAGAGCCCAAGGATGCATGGAAGGGGCAGCGAGGAGAGGCTCAGAGCATGACAAGGGGGCGGTTAATGCCTACAGGCTAGCCAAGGCCAGGGGGAAGGGGGAAGAGAAGTGGCGACTGGGCCCAACAACGCAGCCATCCATACAGGGCCGGGGGGACGGCTTACCGGCGTTGGATCTGCCTTGCAGAGTTGTTGCTGGAGGCCGAGCAAGGGAACTGGACTTCGCTGTGCAGGGTGGCATTGCGGAAGAGGTCACAGAAGTTCTCAAAGAGCTCCAGAAGCTCGTCCGAGGTGTTCTCAAACACAGCAATCACCTCGGTGGTCACCATATTGTACACCACAAAGAAAGATGCCTTAAAAAAAAAAACACAGTGAGCTTCAGACAGCACAAGGGCCTGCCATGCCTAGGGAACCTGTCACCTGGCTTAAAATCCATGCCAACCGAGTACGCCAAGCAAATACCTGAGCTGGACACTAGGGTGGAAACCTGGCTCCCTGTGGTCTTGGGGGGGGGGGCACAGGGGGGCTGGGGAGAAGGGGAGATGGGTGATGGGGAGGGGGCAGACTGGACTCAGAGACCCGGCCCCTCCAGCCTCCCACTGCCTCTGGGCTGCTAGAATGACTGTGTGTAAAAAGAGCTTCAATCTTTTTATCTCAAACTGTGCAAATTCAATATTTTTCCCGTGTTTATCCCTCACTTGCTTCCTAACGGACCCTGAGATTAAAGAAGAAGAAGAAAAAAAAAAACACAAAAAAAATGCCAGATTTAATTTTCCTTCCTGCTGGGAAAGTGATTTGCAGCCTGGGGCTGCCCGTTGCCGAATGATTTTCTCTTCTATGTATACAGTTGAAAGTTCAATTTGGGGGCCACTTATTTTTTCCTCTTCATATTTCTGACATGCAGACAGAAGTCTTAAATATATTGTGTGCTAAAACTGCTCAAGCAAGTTGTAGCCACGTAGGCTCAGCTTGGTACAAATCAGAGAGGCATTTTCTGTTTCTTTCTTCATAAGTGCTCTTCTGCAGGAACATGTGTAAGATGCATTGTAAATTTGGAGCAATTAAGACCCGAGGGGGAACCTGAAAAGCATTCAAATGCCACAGGTGGCAGAGCTGCCACTTTTTCTGAATGAGCCCCTAACCCTCTTGCTCCTGTAAACCTCCAGCCCCTAGCTCCCGTAACCCTCCAGCTCCTTGTTCCCGTAACCCTCCAGCTCCTTGCTCCCGTAACCCTCCAGCTCCTTGCTCCTGTAACCCTCCAGCTCCTTGCTCCCGTAACCCTCCAGCTCCTTGCTCTGCCCAACACGTGGTTCTGGAACCCCAAGTTTCGGTTGGTGAGTGCAGTAGTGTGAATTAATTCGTCTTCAAGCTTCCAAGAGGACTTCAGAAGCTCTCAGAACACTGGGATTAGCAGCTTGCGGTACTCTGATTGAGTCGAAATCTCTGTTACCAATCTCTGGAGCCATGTAGCCCAACTGTTTTACAAGTAATTAGTCTTTCCCAGAGCTCCTATTACATGGCTTCACGGTCACCTGGAAATTAAATTTGGCTGTAAATTAGAGGACAGAGGGCAACCTGAGAAGAACCTAGTAATAACACAAGGCTTTGTGTCTGCAGGCGCTTCCCACTCATTAACCTTATTGGAACCTATCAAATTAAACTGGGGGAGGAATGCAGAGGACAACTTCGGCAGAAAGGGTGGGTTTAGGGTTTCAAACCCCACAAGCAAAGGGCACAGCCTTCGCAGCATCTCGACCAGCAACTGACTGAGGCTACTAGGGAGAAAAAAAAAACAAATAGGTCACCTTTTAGCAAAGGAAAAAGGGCCCGCCTTAAAGCAGTGATCACAGACAACTTAGTGCCTCCAAAATAGAAAGTAATTACAGCTCAAAGCTAAATAAGACTGACTCATGGCCTCTTCTAGACCTGGACAACACTCTGATCACATCAGAGCTTTACCAGAATCTCCATAATTACAAGGACACGGAAACGGATCAACCTCCCCTCCAAGACGGGCTGGGCATGAGAGACAGGGGAAACAGATCACCCTCCCCTCCAAGACGGGCTGGGCGTAAGGGACAGGAAGGCACAGATGTCAGGGGCCGTATGCCAAGCTCCACTCTACTCGCAGTGAAGTGCACACTCACCTGTGGTAGCTGCTAGTTCATCACTGACAGGGAAGACAAAGAATCCCCCTAATGATCTTGCCCATGCCACGCGCCTTTTTAGAATGCAGCTCTGACAGTAGTTCTACAGGTGACTGGAAGCTTAGGAAGCAACGCCCTGCCTGGCACCTCCTTATGGTAAACTCAGCTACTGACAAGAGAGAAATACCAGACTCAGCCAACTCCCATCTCAAGAGTCCTGAAAATGCTCTGAAGAAAACTGGGTGCTGGGCGCCAGTGGCTCACGCCTGTCATCCTAGCTACTCAGGAGGCTGAGATCTGAGGACCACAGTTCAAAGTCAGCCCAGGCTGGAAAGTCCATGAGACTCTCATCTCCAATAAGACCGGAAGTGGCGCTGTGGCTCAAGAGGTAGAGCACTAGCCTTGAGCTGAAGAGCTGAGGGACAGCATTCAGGCCGAGTTCAAGCCTCACAACCGACAAAAAAAAGAAAAAAAAGAAAAGACAAATGTGGGTAATCACTGAGGCGGGCATGGTGGTGCACACCTGTAATGTGCACTTGGGAGGCTCAGGCAGGAAGATCCCAAGTTTGTGGCCAGCTTGGGTTACGAAGCCAGGCCCTGCCTCTGAGAAAAGAAGAATTAGGCCAGCAGGCTCAGAGCAGACCACACGGGCCGAGAGCAGCCAGCTTCCATTTGTCCACACCATGGACCCAGATCAAAACGCAACTGGTTTCAAGTTTGTACCCTAAGAGAGCAAACATCCACCCAAGGAAGGCTGTGCATTCCTGAGGGCCGGCAGGAGGCCGGGCTCCATACCTGGGACGGGTCCGTGGCCCGCAGCGTGGCCACGTCCTCGCTGGTGTACTTGATGAGCAGGTGCCGCTCGTCCAGCAGCTGCATCTTCCACATGCGCAGCTGCCGCAGCTGGTCAAAGTACTGGAAGAAGCGCCGCTTGGCCATGGCGCTCCCGTCCTGCTGCGCACGCCGCCACAGGTACACCAGCAGGCGGTGCTTCAGGGAGTTGATGAAGGGGTCCCGGAAGGGGCTGGCAGTGCCCGCCTGGCCGTCCCGCTGCACCTCGGGGAAGACGGCGGACACGGTGAGCAGGTCGTCCTCATAGCAGAAGCGGCCGATGGTGCGCACGTCGATGAAGGTGCCCTCGGGGGTCACCTGGAAGACGTGGATGGTCTGCTGCTGCACTGACAGGATGGCCAGGATGTTCTTGTACAGGTACAGCCCTTGGTTGTGCGACAGGACCACTTTGTCGCACTTGAAGGTGCGTGTGTCACACAGACGTCCGGTGTGAAGGTCGATGATGTGGAGGGAGTAGTCCTCGAGGGGGGACCGGGGGTTGGGGGTCACGGACTCGCTGTTCCGGTACACCTCGTAGAAGGGGGGGTGTGGCTCGTCGGGGAGGTAGGCGGCTGAGCCCACGATGACGCAGCGGCAGTCATCCGTGAACAGGCTGCACTCCCGGTTCAGGTGCTCCCCGTTGGCGGCCACATTGGTTATATGCAGCAGGACAAAAAAGCGCTCGAAGAGCCGGCCCCGGATGTTGACGGAGCGCTGGTCGTTGCCGTTGGACAGGATCTCCCCCTCGTACCCCTGCAGGAGGTCCTCCGCCGCCTGGCAGCCCTGGTACTCGTAGATCTCGAGAGACGTCTGGTCGGAGGAGAAGGCGATGAAGTAGCGGCCGTCGGGGGAGAACTTGCGCAGGAAGCACGGGGGCTTCTCCACGTTGACGACGGTGAAGCTGGGGAAGACGTTCTGGTGGAACACGCGGACCTGGTGCCAGTGGGTCCCCGCCCGGCCGGAGCTGATGCGCCGGCGCTCCAGGCGGTGAATGACGTTCTGGTTCTGGATTCTCCGGGGTTTAATGGTGGAGACATGATAATCCATGATCACATCTCTGCAGAGGAGAGCAGAGCAGGAAGATAGTTTACCAAAACATACACACACGCAGAGGGCAAACAGGAAACACACACAGATTTCTTATATCCTTAACCAAGGGGCTCCCGTAGTGATAGTAAACAGCACTTTTCCTTCCAGTCTGGAAGTGGGCTAGACAGTTCCAAGTCCCAGTAGAGCTTGAGGAAAGGAGGCAGCTCACAAGGAACCCCTCCCAACCACATGCAGCTCCCAGGAATGTTCCATGGACTCTACCTACAAGTGCATCTGTCTGAACTGTGTAAGAATCACATTCAAGCCAGGTGCTTGGTGGCTCATGCCTGTGATCCTACCTACTCAGGAGGCTGAGATCTGAGGATCACCATTCAAAGCCAGTCAGGGCAGCAAAGTCTGTGAGACTCTTATCTCCAATAAACCATCAGAAAACCAGAAGTGACACTATGGTTCAAAGTGGTAGAGTGTTAGCCTTGATTGAAAGAGTTCAGGGAGAGTGTGCAGACACTGAGTTCAAGAATCACATTCAAGCCGGGCACCAGTGGCTCACACCTGTAATCCTAGTTACTCAGGAGGCTGGATCTGAGGATTGCGGTTCAAAGCCAGCCCAGGCAGGAAAGTCTGTGAGACTATCTCCAATAAACCACTAGAAAACCAAAAGTGGTGCTGTGGCTCAAGTGGCAGAGTGTCACTTTGAGCTGAGGAGCACAGGGACAGTGCCCAAGTCCAGAGTTCAAGCCCCACAACCGACCAAAGGAAAAAAAAAATCCCATTCAATGGCTAAGGAGAGAATGGACGCATAGAGTACGGGCAGTTCAAACCCTAGTACTCCAAAAGAAAGGTCAAAAACAGACAAACATATTGACCAGGCCATTAAGATGGCCATATGAACCAAAATAACCCGATGTAATGCTTATCAAAACTGCAATGGTACTTTTCGCAAAACTAGAAGAAAACAAACAAACAAACAAAAACTCATCCCAAGCAGCCAACGGGAGTGTTGAAAAGTACCAGAAGCTGGGTGATTCCTACTTCCTGATCTCAAAACACATTACGGGGCCTCAATTTAAAACAAAATAAAAGAAAATACACACACCACACTTGGTACTAGCACCGAGGCGGACACAGAGCCAGAAATAAAGCCACGCCCGCGGCGGTCTCTCGTAGCAGGGCAAGACCACGCAGCAGGGAAAGGGCAGTCTGGCCAGCCCATGGTTTTGGCGAGGAGACACCGGGTAGCTCCCCTCCGCACGGTGGGGCCGAGTCTCCCCCAACCACCCTGGCAACGCACGGATGGAACCCCTCACCCTGCTCAGACCCCGGCCGGGGCAGGGGTCCCGCTGGTGTCCGCCCCGGACTGTCAGCCCGCGCAGGTGTGCGTGCTGCGGGGGCCGCGCGCATGCGCCCGGG